GATGTTTCATCTATTTTTTGCTGCATTTGTCTCTATATTCATATATTATCTCGGGCATACGTATGCGTATATTTATATATCTATACACATATATTAAATATGTATGTGTATATATATTTATATATCGATAATCTTTCCCTAGATACGAGTGTACGTGTGCGTTTCTGCGTGTGTGTGTACATATAATATGCATACATTTTTCACTCGGGAATATTAAAAGGAACGCATTTGTCGTTAGTAGCGCAGTTGGACAAAGATTTTTCGCTTCACTTGACTCCTTTTTTTTTTATAGTCATTCAGACGTTCCTTCAATTATTTATTACTTAATGCAATTCGACAATTTAGAATCATGCATTTTCAATCTTTTTTTTTTATTGTTTGCTGTTCGTCGAAATTCGTTCTCGAGCCTAGTTAGAGTGTAACTGGCCGAAATATTTGTGAAGCAGAAATAACATTGCACGGAGGGGTCTTCCAAGTAGCCCGGGGAAACGCAATCAAGTGAAAGATATATACGTATGGTCAGACGTATGCTCCCCAGCCGCGCCCGTATTATATATATACATGCACACCAGTTTACATTTTACGATTATTGTTTTCCATCTTGCTGCAGCCAGGTTTTTTATGTTTTAAGTCACTGTTTAGCACTCCGTGGTTGCGATAGTGAAAACGGAACAGCGGAAAACAGCTTAGACGACGTTGCTTTCCTCTATCCTTTACACGTACAGATTTTTGTTAACGCAAATACTTCAGGTCTAGTCGTTATGCTGAATGGCCCGCTGAGAAGAGGGCTTCCGTAATTGATTCACAAATTAAACGCGATTTGTTCTATACAGAGAAAAAGATCAATTGGTATTTGACGATAATCTCTCAAATTTGATTGTACAAATATTGAAATAGTTTTCCTTTTCCAGAATTAAATACGAACGAATGGCTTTGAAAAATTTGCGAATCAATCGATCCTCGTTTATAGGCACGCTCCTTGCACAGAAAGTGTTGGGAATGACCCAAAAAAAAACAGAAAAGAACACAAGTAATTAGGAGCAAAAAACGAGAAAGATCAGTCACAGACTCACGGGCGGAAAGTGAATACGAGCCCATTCGAATCTCGCGAATTCTTTCGATAAATTCGATGTATCATTGTCGTGTCGTCGTACGATCACGGTAAAAGCAAGCCGACGATCGACTTGCTTTTGATGTCGATACAGAATTAGAAAAAGAAAATCCAATTACAAAGTAGAGTACATGTCTCGACTCATGATAAAGAAATAGGGAATGATCAGTTTGAAAATGAAAAGTTCTACTGCAAATTTTCCTCATAACCCGATCTGCGCGAACAATCGACACCACCCAATCAATTCGACGTTAAATTAGAAATTGGAATAGAAGTCAACCGGTGCGATCGATTTATTGCTGACGATCGATTGTTCGCGCACCAGTAGCAATTAATTAATATTCGTATACGGTCCGATTTTTTTAGAGCATGTAATGTGAATATGCTCTAACATTGAACTGAGTTTGAATGTGCGTGTCCAATGATTTTTAAAGGTGTGTACGTGACGCGTGTGAGTGAGAGGGCGGAGGGCAAGACAGGCCTTGTCTCCGCTCTCGTTGCGTGCCCGATGTGCGAAACGGTGCGTGCACTTGTGACGAATGACTGCCGTGGAACACTGTTGAGAGTTGATTTTTTTCCTCCTTCTCCTTTATGAAACTATCGTACGCGAACATCCACGGATGGGGATGAAAAGTTATAAAAGTGTCTGGCACATTTTCTTTCAGTTACTGGACACCCTCCCGGTGTGCCAAGATTTTAATCGACAAGTGTGCAACCGTCCCGCCTGCAAGTTTATCCATCTCAGTGACGGTGAGTTTGAGCCAACCGCTTGGCCGTTTCCCTCGTAGGAACTTCCCTCGAAACTGATGCTTTCTTGTTTTCTTCTTGCGCCTCTTATATTGATTTCGTTCCTCCTTTTATTTTGTACAATATTTCCTCAATACTCGGGATATTGTTTCACGTTTCGCTGAGACTCGGATCTAATTTTCAATGATACAGATCAGTGAGTATTATTATATAGCATCGTAGAGAATTATTTTATGAGAATTAACGAATGCAAAGAATCTGACAAATGAAATGTGACAATCGGCTTAAATATTTCTCATTCATTTATTTCTAGTGTCGTTGTAATGTGTTAGAAATCTTGTTATGATAGATTCATTTATTTCCATCTTTAATAACAAATTCTGTCTGGCCAACGTAAATACATTTGCACTTCGCGGCCATTTTCCAGTTGACGACCACGCATTCACCGCAAAACAATCATGCTTCCAATATGCGGTGGATGACAAATCTATTGGTCACCGCTGTTTCGAACTACATATACGCAGTATCGTCAAAGTTACAAATTGTTAGGCTAAATTCGCGGGTTGCACAGAAAAGTTCACTTCTGCTCGTTTCGTGAAATATCTGTTATTTGGGAGAAAATTGTATTTATTAAGATTTTTTTCTATTTCAAGGAGACTTTCACAAAATAGGATTTTCACGTTCAACAGTGTAGTAAATGCCCCAATTTTTACTTGGTTCTTTTTCTTATGCCAGTGAGGAGAAATCATGATTAGACTTTAGGATAAAATATTTCTGATACCAGATTAAAAAATGTGTTTTAAATAACAGTTTCATGTATCATTTAAATATTCCAATGCTTTGTACATTTTTTATATTTTGTATACATTATATGCCGTGTTCATATTTTTTGCACATCTTTCTTCTAAATGCATAAAATTTGCAGTCTCGTCATGACGTGAACAGAAATTGGGATATTTACTGTATTGCATGTTGATGTTATTTAGATTCTGTTTTCATATTATACATTCCCAAACATAGTACATATAACCACATCACGAAACACGGAAAAGTTGCTATATTTTATTTTTATTGTAGCACGTCAAATCGTGCTTAAACAAAATTCATTCATACGATTAACAATGAGTATTCATGTTCGAATTTTAAACATGATAATTCACCGATTTCATACATATATTAATTCGTATTGTATTATGCGAAACGTTCTTTGGAAGCTATTCATTCATGTTTCGTTGATGCAGAATAATACGAGGGATAAATGAATCAGTCTTTTATCAGATAACAATTATTGATTTTTACCACATCCGTTCGATTAAACAAATTGATAAAATTACTTTTGTTGTTTATCGTAATTCTATTATGTATTTGGCTCGTTTATAAAGCTATTCATTTTTGTCCGATATTGTTTTTCATGCACGTTCATCAATTGTCTGTTTCATACTTTCACAGTGTCTACATACCAAATTTTGTTAATTGAGAGAATTCCATATGAGGTTCATATAAGAGATGTAGTGTTAAATATCAAATTAAATACTGAAACGTAAATTAAGATTTTTTTTACCCTTGAAAAAATATATACCTACTCGTACATGTAATACATATTCTTGCACATCAAATACATTCCTTTTATGGATTTTTTCATTCCTGTTATTCTCAAGTTTTTCCATAAATGCATCAAATGCACAGTCTAATTATATTTCATCAGAACTGTGCCCTAAATAGAATTTTTACCGATGTTTTTTGCAAATATCCCGGAAACTAATGCCAAGCGGCAATAACAAGTATAGTTGCCTGTTTGTTGAGATTTGTTGAAATCCCGATTTCTCCAATACAGTTTCATTGACAGAGACATTTGCACTTTTGCAGGAAACGTAGAGGTGATCGAGAATCGCGTAACCGTGTGCAGGGACGCAGTGAAGGGCGCTTGCATGCGACCCCAGTGTAAATATTATCATATACCAGTCGCGTTGCCGCCGGCGCCCCTGATGGCGATCACATCACCTGCGACGCCTTAATTACTTCTCGTTGAGCGGATGCGGATGTGTATCACGGCGAGGCGAGCAGTAAGAACGGAAAGCCAGCCAGGAAAGTGAAAACAGGAACCGGAGTACGGAAAGGGACTTCTTTAATTAAAGGGAGGAAAAAGAGCCGAGCGAAAGTGAACAAAAGAGTAACAAAGTAATAAATAGGAAAAGGAACGACGAGCGAACAAACGAACGAGAGCTTCTCGAACACGCGTTTCGCCGGATCACGATTGGATCTGTGATCGTCTCGTCGAGGAAAATCGAAGGGGGAAAGAAAGACGGGGTGGCTCAACAGGAACACGTGTTCTAATGTTCTCATCCTCGTCGTTTTCTTCTTCTCCGTCGTCGTCGTCGTCGTCATATACCTACTCGTACATGTAATACATATTCTTGCACATCAAATACATTCCTTTACATAAATTCATCAAATGCACAGTCTAATTATTTTTCATCAGAACTGCCCTAAACAGAATTTTTACCGATGTTTTTTGCAAATATCCCGGAAACTAATGCCAAGCGGCAATAACAAGTATAGTTGCCTGTTTGTTGAGATTTGTTGAAATCCCGATTTCTCCAATACAGTTTCATTGACAGAGACATTTGCACTTTTGCAGGAAACGTAGAGGTGATCGAGAATCGCGTAACCGTGTGCAGGGACGCAGTGAAGGGCGCTTGCATGCGACCCCAGTGTAAATATTATCATATACCAGTCGCGTTGCCGCCGGCGCCCCTGATGGCGATCACATCACCTGCGACGCCTTAATTACTTCTCGTTGAGCGGATGCGGATGTGTATCACGGCGAGGCGAGCAGTAAGAACGGAAAGCCAGCCAGGAAAGTGAAAACAGGAACCGGAGTACGGAAAGGGACTTCTTTAATTAAAGGGAGGAAAAAGAGCCGAGCGAAAGTGAACAAAAGAGTAACAAAGTAATAAATAGGAAAAGGAACGACGAGCGAACAAACGAACGAGAGCTTCTCGAACACGCGTTTCGCCGGATCACGATTGGATCTGTGATCGTCTCGTCGAGGAAAATCGAAGGGGGAAAGAAAGACGGGGTGGCTCAACAGGAACACGTGTTCTAATGTTCTCATCCTCGTCGTTTTCTTCTTCTCCGTCGTCGTCGTCGTCGTCATCACTGACATCGAAGGACTGACTCGATTCTATTTCATGCTCCTCCGTGAATCCCCTCCGCGCGTTCTCGTCGAGCCAGTGATAGGAATCGGGAGATAAAGCAAGCGCATCGAAACGCGGATCAAAGAGAAAGAGAAGGATGGAGGAAAGGAATCGTTGCATGTCGTCGTTTCGACGGTTCAGGGGAGGAATCGGAGCGGATCCGTTCCACTGTCCCTTTGCTTTCTCTCTGCCCTCGTGTCGTCCCTTGAAGACCGAAGAGAAAAAGCGAGTTCGCGAACGCCAAATCCGTTCCATCAGTTTTGTTCTTATCGAAAATTCGATCAACTATAAATTTCTTAACTAACTGAATAGCAGCTTTCTCCTCGCGTTACCATTATTTCCGATCTATGTTTCATGACTGTTACTAAATTCTGTTTCATAATGTTATAAAAAATGTTCATGGCATAATAGATTCGTGCGGATTGAGAAGAATTTTTTATTGGAAGCATCGAGCAATCGTCGAAATTAGAGATCAACCAGGTCAGTGCACGAGGTCTTCCTTAATCCCATCCTTCTCTACATTTTCCTTCGCATAATTTTCCTTGTATCCTAAAATCTGACGCGTACTGACCGAGCAGGTTTTGTTTTAAAAATATTTTCCGTCATTCAATATCGATTCATCTTTATATCATTTTATTTCCGAATACTTTAGTTAACTTCGACTGTCTTAGCCGATCTGAAGTTCCTATATTCTTGCACGTGATCACTGAAATAAGCAGGAAAGTACTAAAAGGAAAATCATTAAAAAATATTATTAGGAAACGCGAGGGGAACGCGACTGATATTAAATTTTGGGTACGGTTAAATGTACGTACTCATATATTATACACTTTACTGTGGATACAGAGCAAAATGTTAGTACGATTGTACGATCTCACAGGAATAGAATATTCTATGTTATTCAATCTGTGAATCCCTGCACGCTTGAGGCAGTTCGCGGCGCACCACCGGTAGGCTGACTGAAATCATTGAATCATTCACCTAACCCGTTTGATGTTGCTAATAGTTTAGGCGTTTTATAGATTCTCTAAATAAATTGATGAGAGAAGTAAAAATAATGAATTATAATTGACATTTATAAGAAAAGTCTGTTACAATAATTTAGAATTTATATATAAATATAATGTTACTTTAATTTAGTAAAAGAAAAAACAATATTTTTCTGAATTATATGATGAATTTCAATAAAGCTTAAATATTATTAACATCACAGGGGTCGACGACAAGTCTAATAGGAAGAATCAGCTCGTTTAATGAACTTCAAGGGATGTACACATAGAAAAGAACAAGGACAAAGCTGACTCGCGCATACATATAACGAATAATGAAATTTTTTATACTCGTATATATACCAAAAAGAAATTCAATGATATTTTCTTTTTACATCGATATAAATCGCGCGCGTGCACCCACGTTTAAATTGACTAATCAAGCGTGCGTGCACGCCGCGCCGGGAGGTATTGATTTCGTGAAGAAATAAGGCGTAAAGGAGAATGAAAGTCAAGCAAACCAGGGGAAACGAACGACGCGAGAGTGAGATATTGAGAACAGGAGAATATGTGTAGAACAGGAATCGATCGTGGATCGAACGACGAAACGATACATACACATTACACACATTATATATATATATAAATATATACATAAACAAAAAAAGAAAAAAATAATGTTTCCTTCCGGGGAAGGAACGAAAAAGCCTTATGACGTGGTTTCCGGCGACTCTTGCGTGTGAAACTTTCGATAACGTTCTCCATTCATTTCTCCCCTACTTTTTTACCTTATATCTCCATTTCGCGAAGAGACGCGCCGAAAATCTACACATTCTTAGGCGACTAAACGCTATTTAATTATTAACACCACGACAAATGTATATGACAAATATATATATACATATTATATAAAAAATTATATTTAATTAAAAGGTAATAAGATTTTCAAGAGGACGGAGTAATGTTGAACCGAGGCAGGAGAAAACAATGGGGAAAGAAAAATGAGATGAACAAAAGCGTTAGGAGATAGATAAATTGAAAGAGAGAATGATTGATCGATTGACTGAGTGAGTGAGTGACTGACAGAACGAGAGGAAGGAGGACAGGGGCAGTTAAATTATAGTAATAGGGAGAAGGTGACACGGGAGAAAAGAAGAATGTAATATCAGTTTTTATATCGATCGCTGCTCGCGAAGTGACGAGTCCGATGTAATACACTCTTCGATTGTTACGTTTCTTTCAATTCCGTAGCATCTGCCTTTCGAAATCTTCATTATTTCGATAAGAACTGTACGAGTTCGCCTGTGCCCACTGCATCGACTGATTTATCGGGACGAACGCAACGATCGATCAATCAATTAGTATCGTCTTTCACGGTACCGCGCGAAGGACCCCACCGTCGACAAGTCTAATATCGTTGTTCTTACAATTTTTTACGCATTACCAAAACGCCTTCGCCCCCATTTGTCATTCACGAAATTAATTATGTCGTTCTCTTTTTTATTATTTACATATATCCGTAGGAACGTTATCACTGTACGAACAGTACTAATATATAATTCTACTTCCAATATACACACGTGACTCTCTTTTTTTTATTTCAATGATATTGTACGATTTTATTATTTTTTTTAGAGTAGCAATCGAGATGAAAATGACAAGAAATTAGTGCAATCAGCGGGAACGTAGCAGCAAACAGAACTATTCGTGTAGGGGTATTATTACCGTGTATTCCTCTCTGCCAAGGAGTTAATGTGAAAATGCTAGGAGAAACTAGGTAAACTGTCTCACGACTATGAATGAAGTATTTATTCTGTCGATTATTAATTGGAACCGTGCGAGTTTTATTTCTCTCGAGATCGAAAATCCCGTGTTACATAGACATTTTTCTACATATACACATAGTTGACGTGTACTACTACAACTATTATTATTAAGCTACCGTTAATTTTCTCGTTACTTCCTCTATTTCAAATTCAATTACGTTTAAAGTGAAAACTACAAAATAAAAGAACATGACCGTCCAGGAAAGGCTTTCACCTACTTTCCCGACCAAACCGTTCATTCAAAGTGCGGGCCAGTTCATTTGACGATCCCTCGGATTAATAAACGATCGGATGATGCGAAACGCGATGTTGAGCTAGTCATTACGTGTATCCGCGGTGGACCAGGGTCCTTTGCGCGCTTTCTCCACGCTTTCTCAAGTAGAACATAGAAATGACACTCGACATACACACGTAAACAAACGAACACGTCTGATTTCGTGCAGACACTCCACCCAGCGTGACAGTCGCGTCGTTTGTTTTTCCCAAAATATATATATTTTTTTTTAATTCAATTGATCAATCGAACAGTGTCGATGTCGACTTATTTCGTCGTTTCTTTTTAATTAGCTCGACTTTACCAGATCACATCGACCTTAAGGACGGGTTACTAGCAACACTTATTTAAACGGATATAAATGTAAAAAAAAGTACTCTTAATTGAAAGGATAAGCGTATTATAATAATATAGGTTATTAACGGGATATTAAAACTATTATTGAATACAAAAGTGAAAAAGGCAAAAATATTGAACCAGTGATTTAAACGATTAAGTATAAATGTTCCTGTACAGCATTTAAGGATCAAATGACACACACACACACACATACACGTGTAAACAGAAGAGAGGAAAGAAATACGAGCATAGGGACGAAAACGAGGAGAGAAATCAATCGAAATATAGACATACGTATATAAATATGTACACACAAAAGTCTGTATTTATTTTCGTTAATTTTCATTCGTTTTTATTCTCTTCTTATTCGACTTCTTTGTTGCCATTGGTATTAGAGGGGAAAGATTCGCGGACGAGTGAGTCCGGCACTTGTAAATTACTCATGTATATAGGATAGAAAAACGTTACTTACTGCTGTGAGAGAAACAGAAAGCAAAAGGAGAAGCAAGTCACAGAATACTGAGAATTTTTAGATCGTTAGACCGATACGTCTACGCGAACGTGATATATACATACATACATTACATACATACATACATACATATACATAGTGAAATAATCTTTCTTTTTGTTTCTGTAGCGCTCGGGTTCAGTTAGGTGAAAGTATTTCTTTTTTTTTCTTTATTAGTTCGAATGTCGATTCCAATCATTTGTTATCGAGATTCTAGTCATACAATAAAATAATCGTATGGTT